TGCAGTTTTTTGGGCACATGGTGAGTGCCGAGGGCGTACACGTGGACCCGCGGAAGATCGAATCCGTCAAGAATTGGAAAGTACTGGAGAACGTGAAGGAGTTGCAACAGTTCCTAGGCTTTGCCAACTACTACAACAGGTTTGTGCCACAGTACGCTAAGATAGCAGCGCCACTGACCGACCTACTGAAAAAGGATACACCCTACAAGTGGGATACTCCTCATCAGCAAGCCATGGAGCAGCTGCAGACAGCACTGACTACAGCGCCAGTACTCATCCTACCATATCCAGACAAGGACTACGTGGTGGAAGTAGACGCTAGTGACCAAGCAGTCGCAGCAGTATTGATGCAGGATTACGGACGCAGTTTGCAGCCCATCGCCTACCTCAGTAAGAAGCTACACGGAGCAGAACTGAACTACCCCATCCATGACAAGGAAGCCTTAGCGATAGTCATAGCCTTCAAGGCGTGGAGGTGTTACCTAGAAGGAGCCAAGACTACAGTCTATACTGACCACTGCAGTCTCAAATACATGAAGTTGCAGCCGACGCTCTCACGACGACAGGTGCGGTGGGTGGACTTCCTGGAAACTCACTTCCACTACGACATCGTCTACAAGCCCGAGCTACACAACAAGGCAGACGCCTTGAGCCGCCCAGGACATGTAGCAGGCATCCAGCTCGACGGGAGGAACCCCCTGCTCGAGGGTCTATTCCAACATGGGTACTCCGTGTACGCAGAAATTGCTACAGCACAGACCAAGAAGTTGTTACAGTGGGAGAAAGACTTAGCTATAAGGAAGGGTTCGGGAAAGATTGAGGTACCAAAGTACGCCCCGCTACGGCAGATCCTATTGGAGGAGTTTCACGGCGTACCTTACGCGGAACATTTTGGGAGCAACAAGACGTTAGCAGGGATAGCGAAGTATTACTACTAGCCTTGGATGGCAGCAGACGTGCAGCAGTTCGTCACCTCATGCGACACGTGCCAGCGGATGAAGAGCAGCAAGTAGAATAAAGCAGGGTTACTTCAGCCTCTACCCGTACCGGAGCAGCCATGGTAGGTCGTTAGCCTCGAATTTATCACAGGACTTCCTTCGACCTCACGGGGGCACGATTCCATCCTCGTAGTCATCGATAAGTTCTCCAAAATGGGTCACTTCATTCCGACCAATGCCACTGCTACAGCTGAAGCAACTGCTCGCCTCTTCTTCGACCGCATCATCACCATCCACGGCATTCCCACTACACTCATCTCAGACAGAGACCCAAAATTCACCAGTAAGTTTTGGAAGGAGCTCATGGGACTGTTGGGGACAAAGCTTGCAATTTCTTCAGCATACCACCCCCGGACTGACGGCCAGACAAAGCTACTCAATCAGGTGGTTGAACAGTTACTGCGCACAGCTTGCAAGGACGACATCAGCCACCGGGACACACAGTTACCGACCCTAGAGTTTGCTTACAACAACGCCTCACATGCGGCCACAGGGAAAACTCCTTTCTTCCTGTGTTACGGACGGGAACCACTTACACCACAACAGCCAACCACACCGGCACACGTCCAACCCGCACATGACTTCGTCACCACCATGCAGCACCTATGGGGAAAGACTCAGCGACGTCTCACCTCGATGCAGAACTCCTAGAAGTAGTATGCCGATCGTCAGCAACGAGATCACTCCGTAGCAGTCGGAGATCAGGTGCTTCTTGACACGCGCAACTTGAACTTGTCTCACCTCCCGTCCAAACTCTGGCCTCGCTTCTGTGGTCCGTTTCTCGTTGAGGCACAGGTGACACCAGTTACATTCCGCTTGCGCTTACCTATTACTTGGAAGCTTCACAATGCTTTCCATGTGCAGCTAATCAAACCCTACAAGGACCCCAACCAACAATTCCAAGGACAGCAGCTACCGCCACCTCCACCTGTTCTGGTGCAGGATGAACCCGAGTACGACGTTGAGCGCGTTCTCTCTCATCGGCGCCGTGGCGGCAAGGCCCTCGAGTTCCTGATACGCTCGAAGGGATACGACCCCACTAAGGACAGTTGGGTTGCAGAAGCTGATATGGGCAACGCACGCCGTGCTCTCAAGGACTACCTTGTCAAGCAGGGTGTATCTCACGCCACCCAGCTTTGAGGGGGGGATGTGTGAGAGTACGACGGCTTATGCCAGCTATGCTTGCTTGCCTTTACTTTATCATGCTATCTCTAGCATAGGATAATCATATGCATGCATGAATTGCTTGATTTCCTAGGCTAGGTGCTTTCTATATTTTATTATAGTTATAGCACCGAGCTAGGTTGCGTGCACCGAATTCTGGCCTTTTCGGTTGCCACCGAATTGCCTTCTACCAAATTCGGTAAGGATCTGTTCGGGACGCTACGCGGCCCCCGGAACCTTCGCATAACACCTGGTTACGGGGCCTTGTGTCGAACCTATATATAGCCTCGTGTTGTACCCAGGTGATCATTCAATTCGACTCAATTCTCATTCTCTTTTCTGAGCTCGATCCTAGATCCTCACAGAGATGGTAATGATCCAATTTCAGCAGGGATGGAACCCGTGAGCTGATTACCCCTAAGGGACCTGTCGTTGCATTTGAATGGGAAAATGAAGAACCAGAAGATGGGATATAACATGGGGGAGACAATGGCAATAGCTCGTGTCCCGGAGGATGGAGGAATTTTCCCGCATAGTTAAATGGCGAAAAAAACAAGTTAGTAAGCTACGATAGGTTATCCATCAGATAAACGGAATGTCACACTACTGTAACAGTGGTCTATGGCAGGAAACGGGGCAGAAAGAGGAGGTGAGAAAGGCATTGCAGGATGACTGATGTGATGTTACATGACTTTTATTCTTGATAAGTAGTGAAATTGATTCATATTTCCTATTGCCTTGTTGTGGTAAATGTGTCTTTAGTAAAAACCAGCAATATTGTAGTAGAGTGAGGACAGCAGAAGAAAGGGTGGATGGCAAAGAGGGGTGTGAGTTGAATTGGAGCGTTTGGAGGGAAAGATGGTTGCTTTACAGGAGACAACAAAGAACGAGAGAGTCGTGCATCTGATGTACCGACTTCCTCAACGAGCCAACCTCTGCAGGGATAGAGCCACGGAGTTGATTTTCAAAAAGATAGCTGACATGAACCGTGATGAAGATATGATGGAATGTGAGAATGAGGCAAAGGCAAAAAACGGAATGCCTAAGTCAGCAGGGGCACGATAAAGGAGGCGAAGTGACTTGGAAAAACCCGTTGTTTCAGGCCTCTCTGCTTCCCAGACCCGGACAAAGAAAGACGAAGTTGGTGGGCTAGGGTAGGATTAGACTGAGCACAGTGGCAACGGCCAACATGTGCATACACCGGGATTCGAACCCGAGACCGCTCTGATACCATGTCAGAATCCCAACCACTAGACCATTGGGGTAAAAGGGCTTGTTTCAGTAGCGGTCAGTGCGCCCATAACCCCCCAGGCGAACGCGCGTGTAAACCCTCTACAGGATCAATCGGGCATCCACAGTGCAGATCTACTGACAATCTACCTGGCTGATGATATGGTGAACATACATGTGGGATTATATCCCATAAATTGGTATGTGCGACTTACAAGACAGTGAGCTGAGCAAGAGCACTAACACTGGAGGGAATGCTGCCTGAAAGCTGGTTTCTTGAAAGATCCCTGAGATTGAAAAGGGAATCAGCAAAGGCATAGAAATAACCACTCAAATGTTGACTTGTAAGTAGGGCATGGACATGAGCAAGCAACCGAATCAAATTGGTTCGGCTATTTTACTCTGTTTATTGGACTGTTTAGCTGCCAAATCCAACAGGTTCTAAACGAACCGGCCAAAGATCTGGCCGAACCAGTCAAAAGGTCTGGTCTAACCTCTTTTGGTTCGGCTCAAACTAGTTCGGTTCGATTCAAGCACCAACAATCATGGTAGACACATCTTTTTATATGGTTGCGTTTTTCCATATTTTGAAATTTATGGTCATTATAGTCACATCACAGACCACGTCCAGTTCCAGTAGAACCGGTGCTCCTTCGTTGAAACCCAATCGGGCTAGGTAACAGAGGGAGGGTTAACAAGGTGGTTCAAGCCAAACCTGTCCTAGTTGAGAGGTTGGGAGTCGAAAGTGGCTGGTCAATCTCTGCGTGCATGGCTGTCTGCCACTGAGAGGAGTAGGGACCCCCTATCGCCTTTGCGTAGGAGCGCGGGGTCGGGATGTCTGGTGCATCCGGGTCTCCCTCAGGTACAATCAGCATGGACACGAGATGAGATAAAGCAGTGGCAAAGCACTCAAACTCCTCCTGCCTGTCCTCAAGGACGTCTGTGCCAAGAGCAAACTCACCCCCGACGGATCAAAGACAGACAAACTCAGACTCAGCAACAAGAATAGCGGCGTATTTAGACGACAAGCGGCAGCAAAGTCAACAAGCTCAGCAACTAGGGTAGACGCAGTAGTGGACTCAAAGGACGGGTCAGTGACAATAGTGGCCAGTAGACGCGTAACAGTAGGACTAGCAGTACGAAGGGAGTCGGAGTCCGGGTTCGGACCGTAAGCAAGAGAGGACGCAGAAGGAGACGACATAGGGACACGCTATGGAGCAGTGGAAGGACGAAGTGCCATCTAGTGCGTGCCTGGGACAGCAGGAGGACGCGGACGTGGGACACGACTACAAGTGCAAGCAGCGCGAACAGGCGACGAAGGACGAGACGCAAGCGATGCAGGACGAGACTCAGGCTCACAACGCTCTGTAAGACCTCTTGTTGGCCGAGAGTCAGGAGAAGGACCAGGTAGTGGAGAGGCTGACTGTAGCTGCGACTGCGACGGGGCAGGTTGTGGACACAGTAAGGGAAGAGCGGGACCAGTAGAAGGCGGGAGACTAAGAACCTGCTGAAGAAGTGGAACGAAGTATGGCCACGGCCGAGTAGGGCCTTCAGAACTAGCAGAGACAGTTTCAGTACCCCCAGCTCAAGGGTCTCGAGCTCCAATTCTCACAGCACCACCTGCTCCAGCACCTCCAGCAGCTCCAACGCCAGCAGTACCTCCAGCAGCAGCAACCCCAGCACCTCCAACTCCAACTCCGGCAGCAACACCAGCCCCAGCAGCTCCAGTATCTCCAGTACGAGCACCTCCGGGTCCAGCGGCTCCAGCACCTCCAGCAGTACCTGCACCAGCAGGACCTCCAGCAGCTCCAGCTCTGGCAGCACCGCCAGCTCCAGTAGCTCCAGCTCCTCCAGCAGCACCTCCAGCAGCTCCAGCTCCAGCAGCACCTGCACCAGCAGGACCTCCAATAACTCCAGCTCCAACAGCATCTCGCTGTGGTCTCCAGTGGTGAGCAAACCACTCGCGCAGCTGCGGTGGAGAGAGAGGCTCCCGCCGAGATGAGGCGCCTGCAGGAACTCGAGAAGAATCAGCACCCCTAGTCTCAGTAACCGCAGACTCAGCACCTCTAGGCTCAGCACCTCCAGGCTCAGCACCCCCAGCCGCAGCACCCTCAGACTCAGCACCCCCAGGCACCACACCCTCAGACCCAGCAACCCCAGGCTTAGCACCCCCAAGCTCCACACTGTTAGGCTCAGCACCCCCAAACTCCGCACGCTCAGGCTCAGCACCCCCAGCAGCACCACCCTCAGTAGCAGCATTAGAGTCAAACGCTACCTTGACAGGCTTGACAGCATCTACCTGGGACACACCTGAGGGAGCAGGACCCTGAGGGGGGAGGGGGTCTACCGGAGGAGGACCAGGGGCAAGTAAGAGCGGCGGGGGAGGGAGAGAGGCAGTGCGGTAGGGGAAGAGACGGTAAAAGGGAACCGACTCGTCGAGCATGATGTTCTCTGAAGGCAGAACACGGTGCGAGGTGGGGTGGTAAAACTACCAGCTAGGCGCGTCAGGGACAAAGCCAAGGAAGACGCAGGGAATAGCACAAGCGGAGAGCTTGTCCGCGCTAGTATCGCGGACAAAGGCACGAAAACCCCAGACCCAAAACACTGACGCATTGCCAACCTTCCCCGTCCAACGCGATGTGGGCGAGATCTCTGGCAAGGAGACACGGGGCCAGGGGGTTGAGGTGATGTGCACCGTAACGGACCGCAAACAGCCACAGGAAATGGGGGGCAGCGTCATGGACCATGGAGGTACGAGCGACCTCCATGACTAAGCCAATGCGGCGCTCAGCAATCCCATTCTGCTGTGGTGAGGCTGGGAGCGTGAAGGTCTGGCGAATGCCCTTCCCACGACAAAATTCCCGCAGAAAGTGAGAGGCAAACTCACCACCTCTGCCAGAGTGTAGACGCAGGACGCGAAGTCCGTCCCGAACCGCTCGCGGAGCTGGAGTTGGGCAGCGCGGATCCAAGGGATCAAAACATCGGGGACCTCAGCATCGGTGCGCGTGGTGTAACGCGTGTAGTTGTCAACTACCAGGAGAAATACCGCTCGCGGTCCTGTCCACGAACGCGGGCTAGGCCCCACGTCCATGTGGAGGGTCTGCAGGGGAGTAGTTGTTGGGGGAAACGAGGAGGAGTGAGGAGCGGCGCGCTACCGCCCCTCGACACAGGGCAGACAGGGAGGAGCAGGCAAGGGTGGGAGGGGAGGGACACCCTAGGAAGACCAGAGACTAGGACACGTCGGTGCACGAAGGCGCTGTACCGAGGGGTGACCAAGACAATGGTGCCAGATGACGGTCTGGTACGACAAAGCGCAATACGAGCAGGGGGCCGCTAGCGGACCTGACGCACACGCATACGCAACTACCTGAGGGGACGCAGTAGTCAGTGTGTGCAGACTCGAGCCAGGCGCACGGGTAAACGTGGCCAGGTGCCGGCCCGTTCGGGAGCCCATATAGTGGGTCACACGCTGACCTTCAGGAGTGAGCTGGTCAACCAATGCATCCAGGAGGTCAGCTCCACTCACCAAGTTCGTAGAGAACAAGGGGAGGTGAAGACCCGATAGTGAGCTAGACGGGAACGCCGGACATGGCAGGATTGTGGAGGAGTGCGCAAGGACTGGGCCCCCAGAGGGGTATGCCAGGGAGACTGCAACAGGTCGACTGAGCGGCGTGAGTGTGGTGCAGTCACGAAAGAAGGAGCGAGAAGCACCTGAGTCAAGTGTGAAGGTGTGCAAGGCCTCAGCAGGCGCAGTACCAGAGAGAGCAGACTCACCAACACCTAGAGCAGCAGACTCACTAGCACCTAGAGCACCAGCCTCACCAGCACCTAGAGCAGCAGACTCACCAGCACCTTGAGCAGCAGACTCTATACCTGGGTCCGGCGGTGTTCACAAGTAACAGTCACCCTTAGCACTAACACGCAATGCATACATGGTAGATAGAATAGCATCAAAGTCCAGTGCAAAGATATCCACTCTCTGCCTCAGCAGCTCCACCCAGCTGGGGAGCTCACCCTTGTCACCAAACTCTGTACGCCAGGCGTCCCTCAGAGAGGCAAAGCAGCGGGACTGTGTGTGACCTATCGTGCCGCAAGTATGACCAGCCCGATCACTTGTACTAATGACGTGCAGCGAGCAGTACTCCGAGACCCTCTACTCTGAGCGTACCACTCACGCAGCTGCAGGGGCGTAAGGGTCTCGCGCGGACATCGCTGAAGATGTATCTGGCCACCGTCAGAAACTCCCCACCGAGCAGCTCCGCCTAGACTGCCAATGCTGCCGCCACCACCACTCCCACTGCTGCCACCACCGCTGCCACCACTCCAACGGCTACCACGAAGAGACGCCATAGCGGAAAGGTAGGGCGAGGCGGCGCACCGTCAGTGAAGGGCGGCGCGCGGCTAGAATAGGGCGGCGTGCGGGCAGAGGAGGGCAGCGTGCGGGCTGCAGATGGTGGCGTGCGGGCTGCTAGGGTGGACGTGACAGGCAGGGGTAGGGCAGAGCGCGGGCAGCAAGGCAGCGCGCTGGGCCTAGGATGACGCGACGGGCAGTGCAGGGGCGGCGCGCGGGCCCTAGGGCGACGCGACGGGCAGGGAAGTGGCGGCGCGCGGGCCCCATGGCGACGTGACGGGCAAGGCATGGGCGGCGCGCGGGCCCTAAGGCGATGCGACGGGCAAGGCAGGTCGTCGCGCGGGACCTAGGGCGACGCGACGGCCAGGGCAGGGCGTAGTGGTGCGGGTAGGGCAGGTGCTCACCAGGGGCGGGTAGGGCAAGTGCCACCGGCGGCGGGTGGGGCAGGCACGCGAATGGCAGCTGCAGGTAGGGCCACGACAAAGCGGCTGCAGGTCAGGGCCGCGACGGGGCGGCGGTACAGCAGGGCCGCGATGAGCGGCTGAGGGTAGAGCCGCGACAGGTGGCGGTAGGGCAGGGCCGCGACGGGTGGCGAGGTCAGGGCCGCGACTTTGGGCGGCAGGACAGGGCCGCGATTGGCGGCTGGGTCAGGCCACGACGTGGGGCGGCAGGGCAGGGCCGCGACGGGGGGCAGGGCAGGGCCGCTACGGGCGGCAGTAGGGTAGGGCGCGCTATGGCGCATGTGAGGCACGCGTGAGGCGCGCTTCTGGCAGGGCAGGAAAAATCGTGGTGGGCCCTAAAAAAAAGATACATTCCCACTAGGGAACCTGCTCTGATACCATGTGAAAGATAGAACGAGGAATGATTGCATTGAGCAGCATGAGGAGTACAAGTAGGAAACCCTAAAGTTTTGTACCCCATATGAACTACCCCACTACAGCCTACACAGACTATAGCATACAAATTTGACATAGTAACCTCCTCGCCACTCAACTGGTCAATTTGTGAGCCTCTGTTTTAGCCCCATCCGTGCTATGTTGGCACAGCTGGCAAGCTTATCGGCTGCTGAACCAAAAGGAGGGGCCTTGAAGTGGCCCAGTTTCAAGCACCAGATTCATTGTGTGCGTCGATCGTTCCCATACCTACAACTCCCAACCTCTCAATTTCCCAAGGTAGTACGTTGGTCTCCTTGTGCTCTTGCTCAAAATAATCTCACAGTGAGCCCCTTAGTAACTATCTGCCGCGCCCATTTGACTATTGTTTTACGAAGTTTGCTTACTAACTCTCCGCCCCTCCCGTTTCTATTATTTAACCACCTCGCCCGCTCTCTCAAACAGATTACTATGTCATCGACAGTTCCCACTGTGTGTGGCTTCTAGCGGCAAGGTGTTCACCACTGATATAACACCTCGCTACCCACTGGGTCCAAACGAGGGTGTTATTTGGCGCAGCGGAGTGCCCTTAACACAGCCCACAAGCGTTACACTCGTGCCCCCCTGGTTGCCAACGTCCCCGTTGGCCCTCAACTTCAGAGAGTCGGCCCCTCCGCAAGGACCTCCCTGGATCATTTGTCGAGTTCGAGCTGGTTACAACCACAATTCGGTTCTCGCCAAAGGCGGAAATTGTGGTCCAGCCGGGATTCGAACCCTAGGCTCTGATACCAGTATAACACATCTCTACCCACTGGATTGTTATTTGGTGTAGCGGAGTGCCCTCAACACAGCCTACAGGTGTTACAACTGTCGTGTGCTACAACGACGGGTGCCAAGTGCAACAACTACGGAGAGCGACGAGTGCGACTACGATGGCGAGCGACGAGCGCGACTAATCCATCCGCAAATTCCCCTTCGCCGCTTCTCACCAGCTCGGCGCACAACATGCGCTCACGCACCCGCGCCATCCCCGCCACCTGGTACCTTCGACTCAATTGTGCGCCTGCTAGAGGTAGGGTTTCTTTGAGCCACTTTCTTACTCTATGGAGTGCCACATCTGCTATTTTTTAAGCTAATTCGTGTGGCTAATCTGCAGAGTCCTTGACTGACAATTGGAATGTACAAAGTCATGGTGCACGTGTCTTAAGCATTTTCTCAAGTTTAACCACAAGCTAAGTCATCAAGTTGGACAGCACTGCATCAACTAGCATATCCGTGAGTATTGTCGAAGCATTTTTCTGGTTGCTAAGTGGTTGCTTTTCACCCTTAACCCGCTGCTTTGTTTGTGTATTGGATTTGTGTGAGCAATGTGCAGCTTGTGGTCTTACATTAATTGGTAATGTTTTTTCATATGTATATATATTGTTATAGGCATAGATGCCATTGCTGAAAACACTGTACACTATTTCAATTAATGACATCACAACTTTTCATAGTCAATCTGGTTTAAGCACATAAACAAACAAGAAAAAGTACTCGTAAGCTTCGGCAATTTTTAGTGTATTTACGGCTTGTTGTTATACCTTTATCGGTGTACCCTGTACAGGCTTTTTACAATCCTCTTCCGTTGAATGTGGAAACCACAAACAATCTTTTCGAAGCATCCCAAGAGTTACATTGAACTTACCGACCCTTTTCATGTGCAATGTGCATAGTAAACCTAAAAGTGTGTTCCCACGAGGTACTTCGAACATAGATCGCACAAAGTGCTTTCATTGTTTTTGGCCCAATTGTTTTGTTGAGAGAGCTGGGAGGAGGATGGTGGGGAGCAGAGAGGGGTTTGAAACGCTGTTGGGGTGGCAGAGGCGACAACGGGAGGCGAAGGATTAGAGGAGCAACTGGGGCAACGAGTTGCTGTGCGTGACGTCGGTTCTAATGGGTGATCTACCCTGGAGCGTGAGTGAATGGTTGAGCGCGGGACGAGGGAAGGAGAGCGCGTGACGAGGAGAAACACGCGTGACAGAGGGAAACGTGGCAACGAGGGGCCATGCACGTGACGAGGGGAAATGCGCGTGATGAGGGCGCAGATGCCGACGTGCGCGACGAGGGAACGAGGGGGCAGATGCCGGGGACGAGGGGGCAGATGCCGGGGAGAGAGTGCGTGACGAGGGGCCATGCACGTGACGAGGGGAAACGCGTGTGACAAAAGGAAACGTGCACGATAAGGGGACGAGGGGGCAGATGTCGAGGAGAGAGCACGTGACAACGGGAAGCACGCTACCTGGGCAGGCTGGGGCAGGCGGGAGTGATGAGGGCAGGCGCGAGTGACGAGGGCAGAAGCGAGTGACGAGGGCAGGCGCAAGTGACGAGGGCAAACGCGAGTGACGAGGGCAAGCGAATGACGAGGGCAGGCGTGAGTGACGAGGGAAGGCGCAAGGGACGAGGGCAGGCGCGAGTGACGAGGGAAGGCGCAAGGGACGAGGGCAGGCGCGAGTGACAACATACCAAAAATGCCAGGGCTCGCGGGGTATGTTTCCCAACAATACTTCGAAACATTCCCCAACCCATGCATGCATTTCGTTGGAACCATCAGGTGGGGGTTACGCAAGGGTATGTTTGGATTGTGCGGCATGAGGTTCAAAATTGCGCGAACGTAATTGCTTTGGCTCGGGATGTCTACATCAATTGAGTAGCTTCTCAGTGGCTCGGGCTCGAGCTCTTGCAACCGAACGCGAGTTTCACATACATATAAATATTGCCAACAGTACAGTCAAGTACAATTTTGTGAACTTGTAAGCCGTTTGTATTCGTCATTGATATTTTATCATCTTGCAACAATTGTACCTTGTTGTGTCGTGTTGAATTCATAAACCGTCAAAGGTAACATTGCAATTATCTCTTTCATACTTAATCGTGATAGTACCGTTAAGATTTAATGTATTTGGCATTTCAGCATTCGAGTAACGCATATTCCCATGCTTACACTACGATGTTTCATTACAGTAGTGTCAAATTATAATGTTGTGTAGGCTGTAATGGGGTAGCCTATATGGGGTACACATTCCTAGGGTTGCATATTTGTACCACTTTCATTCCTTAGTGCAGTCATTATCGTTTCTTCTCATGGTATCGAGCAGGTTCCCTCGTGGGAACTGTTCCTAGGGCCCACCAAGTCGGTTTTTTTTTTTCTGCCCGGAGCGCACCTTGCTTAGGCCCGAGTCGCGCCTCGTGTGCCCTCTCTACTGACGCGCCCGTCCTAGGCCTCCTTCGGCCCCGTCGCGTCGCCCCTAGCAGCCTCCCTCGCGCCGCCCTTACTCGGCTCGTCGCCACCCTCAGCGGCCCGTTGCCGCCCTTGCGCCGCCCTCACCCGCGGCCCTACCACCTACCTGCGGGCGCGCCACCCTACCAGCGGCCCCGCCGCCCTCATCTGCGGCCCCGCCGCCCTACCTACGGCCCCGCCGCCTTACCTGCGGCCCCGCCGCCTTACCTGCGGCCCCGCCACCATACCTGCGTGCCCGCCACCTTACCTGCGGCCTCGTCGCATGCTGCTGCGGCCCCGCCACCTTACCTGCGGCCTCGTCGCATGCTGCTGCGGCCCCGCCACCTTACCTGCGGCCCCGCCACCTTACCTGCGACCCCGCCGCCCTTTACCTGCGACCCCACCGCCCTTCGCTGCGGCCTCGCCACCTTACTTGCGGCCCCGCCGCCCTACCTGCGGCCCCACCACC